GCACTAAACCATCTTACATGTGACAAGATTTAAAGACTATGAAATACATGGAAAGACAACACTGTTTGAAAACAAAGACAAACAGAAAACAGAGAGAAACAGGTATTTGTGGAATTCTGGGATTGTACTTTAAGCTTCTCGTATTTAACTCCTACAAAAAGGAAGTATAGCAGAGAAATTAGGGCTACCAGACCAGTCAGCTTTGCTGTTGCTTTTCAGTCAATAGGTCACTTCCCTTCGTTAGGGATTGCACTCTGCCAAACAGCAGAAATTTTTAGCTGGTCCTGTGTCAATGAGACAATAATTCTGTTTCTACGGTGTCATAAACATAGAAACAAAAGAATAAGACCATAAAATAAGAAATTATTATACTCTTTGATACTGCAAAATTGCTGTCCTTACTTTTCTTAGAATATTGGATTATTTTAAAAATAAACTAGAACTTTTGTCAAATATGTTAAAAACCCACCTCAGCAACATATTTTTGCAAGGGATTTTATAGACTTCAGCTTCTGAGTCACATATGAGACGCTGTGTACTAACCATGATGGTAGATAATTCACATTTAGTAACTTGAGTGTGATTTTGCCGGTTAGCTCCCTTTAGAGTCAGGCTGGGACACTCTGAAGTATTATGGCCATGGAGTTTATTTCATCATACAGATGTAGGCACCTCTCTGATCTATATAGTTACGTTTGCATTGATATGCCTAACAGTGAAATAACTTGTCAGCTTTAAATACTGCATAAAGTTGACAAAAGTGAGCATTAATAGCACTGAGTTCCATGGACAAATCTGTATTGCTGCCATGAATTAAATGAATTATTCCCTTGTAGGATAAAAAGATACTATGATCCTTATTTCAGAGAGAAATGTCATTTTTTTTTTCTACTTCTCAAGAAGTAGATATCACAGGCTACAATACTTAAACACTCAGGAAAATGACAGCTTTCCCCTTTCCTGTTGCTCTCAGCAGAAATGAAGTTTTGGCTAGCTACTGATATTTTGGAGGAATTATGCCTGCTGAGTTATTTATTTTTATAATGCTGCAACATTTTATCCTGATTCCTACAGAAATCAGGCTAATACAATCCTGCTGCATACGCTTGTATCTCCCTCACTTCCACACCCCTGAAATCTTTTGAACTTATTGACAAATTTCAACCAATTGATCTCAAAGAAAATCAGGTTCCTACAAGCTTTGTGAAAGTAACCTGCCTGGTAGTGCTGTCGCAAAGAGAGGTAGGCTGCAGTGTGAACAGGCACCGTTTCAGACAGCAGAGAGCCCACTTGTAAGAAAATATTTATTTATAAACACCTGTCCATGGGAAACATTTTATGGAAAGCTTGTTCCTTCCTTGATCTGGAGACAATTGAGTCTGAGGCTCAGGTCTTTCAGGAGCCAGGCTTTATAGTACTGATCTCCACAGCACGCAGGAATACTGCTTTGCAGTACTATTTTACCACTTTAACCGCATTTAAAATTCTTAAAACCACTTAATTTTCAATTTTTTTTTTCCCTCTTGTAAAGGTCCAATAACTGCCCAATAGCCTGTCTCTTAAGACCAAGACTTTATGTTGTCCATCACCCTGGAAGTCAACTCTTGACCTTTATCACTGTCACTTTTCTCCATGGGTTCTCTGAGTTTAAAGTTACAGAATTGCCAAAACAGATAACAGAATGCAGAAGGCTGAAAAGTGACTGGGACGAACCTCCAGGGACAAAGTTAATCTGTTGGAGCATTTCCTCTGTGTACTTTGAAACCTCTCAATTTAACTTGATCAAAGCGTGAGCCGATGTGTTTCAGCTCCCTACTGAACAAACAAATTTACTGCTTATCATCGTTGCCACCTCAGTCTTTAATTTACTTTACTTAGTAAGCCAGTACATGTTAAATGAACAACCTGGTTATTACACATGCTAGGTTGTGGCCTCAAAAATAGGCTACAGTTTACCTGACATTAAATTACACAGCACATCGCAGACCCTCTCCTTCCCTACAATCCCCATGTAAAAGGAAGCACAGGCCATTTTTAGCCAGTGTGGACAACACTCTTTGAGACCACTGTATCCATCAATATCTGTTGTTTGTTTTTTTTTTAGTATCTTGGGCTTCCTCACTTCTTTTCTTTAAGTCCTGTAGGGCATAGGTGGACTGAGAAAATGAATGGCGTTGTTTTCAGAATGCATTAGTTAACTCATATTAACACATTTCATAGCACACTTTTGCACATATGGATCAACAGATCATTTTAAACATCACTTTTTCTGTCTATGGTAGTAACTAAAACTTTTTTTAATGTCCTGATAGCTTTTGAATTTGTTTCAAATATTTCAATTTTAATTACTTGTTTTTAATGAAAAAAGTATTTATTTAAGTTAATAATAACAATAGTAAAGACATGAAGGGAGCATGGCCAGACACCCTAGCTAGTAGAATGCAGTGACGTACAGTGGCTGTCTTTGGTTCTAAACCAAAATAATTTGACAAGTGTTTAGAAACCACATTCAAAATATTTTAATTGTTTTCCACTTACTTAAAGCTACTGGTCCATATTTTCCAGCTTATGTGGCCTTCCTTATTCTCAAGAGAAATTGAGTCCAAGTTCTTTAATCTCCTTGGTTCATCAGTAGCATAACCCTGTGTAACCAGAACTGGTGTGGTACTTGAGGCTGCTTCTCTTTCAGGAGGCACCTGCAAGAGCAGGGACAAATGCAACCCATTTGGTGACATTTGTCCTCAGTTTTTGAATGCTTTTCTTGTGTGATTGCAGAACCCCTGAACTAGGAAATTGCGGCTGTCCCTTCAAGTTGTATGTTTCTGGATCTATAATGCAAACATTGAAATACCCTGGGTTAGAGAAAATTATCAGTCAATAAACCAGCCTCCCAAACCAGCCTTCCTCACAGAACAGCACTAAAAGGGATCTCTATGTGATATAGGTAGATACAGATAGAAACTATTCTTTAGCATTCTAAACTGTGGTTGCCATTGTTAACTGGCAGCTTCTTTCCTTCTTTCAAGCAAAAATAACTTCTTCAAACATTCTGCAAGCTCAGATATTAACCATAATCGGTTTTATTCTACTTCTGTGTCATCGCACATTGAAAATGCAAAATGCTTAGACAATGTAAGTTATGATGGGAATTTTCAAGGAAAGTGCAGCGACACATCTCTTCTTAGAATTAATGGGACATGTGTGACGCTATCCTGCACAGCTTGGTAAATGTCACTCAGAGACTTCAGAGCATCTATGTAAGAAATGACAGGAAAGTCAGCCACATATGGCAGTATCTGCTGACACAGATCAACCTCTACACACAATTCAACTAATAAATGTATAGTCTTTTCCCATAATAACCACAGACTGGGAATAGTTCAGTTTAGGGTTTTGTGAAGCTTGCAGATGATATCTTGGTTTTGTTGGCATGAAAAAATATTTCAAATCCACAATATTTCTTTACAATTTGGACTAGTGTTGATTATTTTCTTCCTCTGATGTGATTAACTTAAACAAGTTAAAAGACATTTTTCTACCTGAATGAAGCCTGTGCCAGATATAGAAAACTGCTTACCTGAAAGATGAGTTAACACAAGTGAATGTCCTATATTTTTCGTAATGAATTAGCTGTAAGTATTGAAATATTCCACAATCTATCAGTTTGCCACCCTGCTTTTAAATTTGTCAAAGGAAACCTTAGTGTGACTGGTTCTGCCGTTTCCAAGAACAAATACAGATAACAGAGCCATGTGAGAAATGTTCCCATGCTGTTCTGAGATGAAGCAGATCTTTAGATGTATTCTCCAAATAGGGAAAAGAGTAAGTTTTCTGGAGTAGGTGGTAACCTGGCACTTGTGCTTCACACTGGGACTATTGGAGAAGAGGGTTTAAACCCTTTGTTGGCTTGAGCTGGGTTTCTCATGTGCTATGAGGGATTCCCCTGTCCCCAGTCCCTCTGCTTTGTAATGGGCCTCCTTAAATATCTGTGGCCATACAGAATCATAGAATAGCTAGGGTTGGAAAGGACCTTAAGATCATCTAATTCCAACCACCTTCCATGGGCAGGGACACCTCACACTAAACCATGTCACCCAAGGCTCTGTCCAAGCTGGCCCTGAACACCGCCAGGGATGGAGCATTCACAACTTCCCTGGGCAACCCATTCCAGTGCCTCACCACCCTCACAATTAAGAACTTCTTCCTTATATCCAACCTAAACTTCTCCTGTTTAAGCTTTAACCCGTTACCCCTTGTCCTATCACTACAGTCAATAGTGAATAGTCCCTTCCCAGCATCGCTATAGCCCCCCTGCAGATACTGGAAGGCTGCTATGAGGTCTCCACGCAGCCTTCTCTTCTCCAGGATGAACAGCCCCAACTTTCTCAGCCTATCTTCATACGGGAGGTGCTCCAGTCCCCTGATCATCCTCGTGGCCCTCCTGTGGACTTGTTCCAACAGTTCCATGTCTTTTTTTGAGGACACCAGAACTGCACACAATACTTCAAGTGAGGTCTCACAAGAGCAGAGTAGACGGGCAGGATCACCTCCTTCAAGCAGCTGGTCATGCTCCTTTTGATGCAGCCCAGGATACGGGTGGCTTTCTCGACTGCGAGCACACACTGAAGCTGGCTCATGTTCATTTTCTCATCAACCAACACTCCCAAGTCCTTCTCCACAGGGCTGCTCTGAATCTCTTCTCTGCCCAACCTGTAGCTGTGCCTGGGATTGCTCCGACCCAGGTGTAGGACCTTGCACTTATCTTAGTTAAACTTCATGAAGTTGGCATCAGCCCACCTCACAAGCGTGTCAAAGTCCCTCTGCATCGCATTCCTTCCCTCCAGTGTATCAACTAAACCACACAGCTTGCTGTCATCGGTAAACTTGCTGAGGGCGCACTCAATCCCACTGTCCATGTCACCGACAAAGATGTTGAACAAGACCGGTCCCAACACCAATCCCTGAGGGACACCACTCATTACTGGTCTCCAGCTGCACACTGAGCCACTGACCACAACTCTTTGCATGAGGCCATCCAGCCAGTTCTTTATCCACCAAGTGGTCCATCCATCAAATTGATGTCTCTCCAATTTAGAGACAAGGATGTTGTGTGGGACAGTGTTGAACACTTTGCGCAAGTCCAGGTAGATGACATCAACTGCTCTACCCCTGTCCATCAGTTCCGTAGCCCCATCATAGAAGGCCACCAAATTGGTCAGGCAGGATTTCCCCTTAGTGAAGCCATGCTGGCTGTCACCAAGCACCTTGTTGATTTTCATGTGCCTTAGCATGCCTTCCAGGAGAATCTGTTCCAGGATTTTGCCAGGCACAGAGGTGAGACTGACTGGTCTGTAATTCCCTGGGTCATCCATTTTCCCCTTCTTGAAAATGGGGGTTGTATTACGTTGGGAAGTCGTTGGGAACTTCACCAGACTGCCATGATTTTTCAAATATGATGGACAGTGGCTTAGCAACTTCATTTGCCAGCTCCTTTGGGACCTGCAGATGGATTTCATCAGGTCCCATGGACTTGTGCATGTTCAGTTTCTTAAGACAGTCTCGAACCAGACCCTCTCCTACAGTGGGCCCAAGGTCTTCATTCTCACAGTCCGTGCATCTGCCTTCCAGAATTGGGTGGTGTGGTCAGAGCATTTGCCACTGAAGACTGAGGCAAAGAAGTCATTCAGAACCTCAGCCTTCTCCAAATCCTGTGTAGCCAGTTCTCCTAATTGCTTCCTGAGGGGGCCGACATTGTCCCTAGTCTGTCTTTTATTTGCAGTGTACCTATAGAATCCCTTCCTGTTATCCTTAACATCCCTAGCCAAATTTAATTCTAACTGAGCCTTAGCTTTCTTAACCTGGTCCCTAGCTTCCCGGACAACATCCCTGTATTCTTCCCAGGCCACCTGTCCTCCTTCCGTCTTTTAGAAGCCTCTTTTTTTCAGCTGAATTTTCCTCAGCAGCTCCTTATCCACCTAAGGAGGTTTCCTGGCCCTCCTGCTGCACTTCCTTACAGTTGGGATGCCACACTCCTGAGCTTGTAGTAGGTGATCCTTGAATATCAACCAACAGTCCTGGGCCCCTCTGCCCTCTAGGGCTATATCCCATGGAACCTTCCGAAGCAGGTTCCTGAAGAGGCCAAAGTCTGCTCTCTTGAAGTCCAGGGTAGTGAGCTTGCTGTACGCTCTTTTCACTGTCATGAGGATCTTGAATTCAACCATCTCATGATTGCTGCAACCAAGGCTGCCCTGGAGCATCACATTTCCAATCAGCCCTTCCCTGTTGGTGACGACAAGGTCAAGCATGGCACCTCTCCTTGTCAGCTCCTCTATTACTTGCAGAAGGAAGTTGTCTTCCACACAGTCAAGGAACCTCCTGGATTGCTTGTGCTGGGCTGTACCATCACTCCAACAGATATCAGGTTGATTGAAGTCCCCCATGAGAATAAGGGCCTGCAAGTGTGAGGCTGTTCCTATCCGTCTATAGAGTGCTCCATTCACAGAGTCCTCTTGATCGGGCAGTCTGGAACAGATCCCCACAGTAATATCTCCCATAGCTGTTCTTCCTTTTACCCTGACCCACAAACTCTCTGTGGACTGCTCACCTGTCCCCAGACAGAGTTCCATACTCTCCAGCCTATCCCTAACATAAAGGGCAACTCCTCCTCCCCGCCTGCTGGGCCTGTCTTTTCTAAAGAGCCTGTAACCTTCCATTCCAACACTCCAGTCATAGGAGCCATCCCACCATGTTTCTGTGATGCCTATTATATCACACCCCCGTAGATGTGCACACATCTCTAATTCCTCTTGTTTGTTCCCCACGCTATGGGCATTTGTATAGAGGCACCTGAGCCGAGCTCCAGCTGAAGCTGGCTCATTGGCTGGAGTGGCTGGAATATATCCACATTGCTCCAAGCATTTATTATAGGTTCTGGCAACTGACTGTGTGTGTTGGGATGGAATGATGCCCCCCGTCCCCAACACATCTAGTTTAAAGCCTCCTTGACCAGCCTGGCAAGCCTCCTACCAAAACCGCTCTTCAGCTCCACCAGCCCCCAGTAGACTTGGCCTACAAACTTGGGTCCCGTGTTCAAGACACCCAAACCCCTGACTATGGCACCACCGTTCTAACCATTTATTAACCCAGCCAATCCTCCTAGCCTTTTTAAGGTCCTCCTCTTTATCCTGGAGAATTGATGAAAAGACTATCCGAGCTCCAGAGCCCCTAACCAGCTCTCCCAGGGCTCTGTAGTCCTTCTTTATATTCTCTGGGCTACTGCTATATCACTAGCACCCACATGGATCACTAGAAGTGGGTAATAGTCAGTGGGACTTACTAGAGCAGGCAGCCTGTCTGCAACATCCCTGATGCAAACCCCTGGTGGGCAACACACCTCCCTGAGACCGGGTCAGGCTGACAGATGGGTGCCTCTGTTCCTTTCAAAGTAGTGTTATCTACTACTACGACTCGCCGCTTTTTCCTGGCAGCACCAGTAGAGATCTTCTTTAGCAGTGCATCAGCTGGTTGTTCATGGTGCGAGGGTGTTTCCTCGTTAGCCCCTAGTTTTGTTACTATTTGCCAGCTTCCCAGGTTAGCAGCCTCCTTCTTTTCTCCATGAGCTACAGTGGACACTTGTGGCCCCTTGCACAGTTCAGGCCTGGAGCAAGCATTCTTGCTTCCTCTCAGCTTCCCTGACACCTTTCAGCTACTGACAGCGCCCCGCAGCTCAGCCCCTGCTGCAGGAGGGCCTCCACCAGGGCACCGAGTGCAGCCCTGCCCATGGCGCACCCTCCCCTCATGACACCAAGGCAGGCACTTTCTGCACCCCGAGCTCTGCACTGCAGCCTCCCCTCTCATCGGCTCTGTCTGGTGCCGACGCTGCCACCGCCGGGGCAGCCAGAGCAGAGCCCCCAGAGCAGAGCTCCCAAAGCGGGGCCTGGTCATAAAGCGAGTGCTCACCACCCACGCGAACCCCCTTGCTGTACCCCCTGGGGCAGGTTTTTACCCAGCCAGGGCTGGTGCCGCTGCTCCTGGCTCCGCCCCGTGTGAGTCAGCTGCTCGCTCTCGTCAGCTGAGCTGCCGGCTCCCGGGCAGGTCCCGTCGAGGACTGGAGGCTTCCTCGGTGTCTCTTGTCGCTCTGAGGTGAGGCTCCTGGACGCTGTGCTTCCTCCTGCTTCCCCCTGCTCAGGTGCTGAAGGCATCCTCTCTCGAGCTCCAACTCCAAGAGCTTTTTATTTTTAAAATGTGGAAACTATTCCAACAGGTGCTCATTTTTAACAACAAAAAAAAAAAAACAAAAAATTTGTAATAATCTTCATAGCAGCTCTAGAAAGTAAAGGTAGAAGAACTGGTTCCTTGGGCTGCTCTGTGGACTTGGACCTTCTCACTCAGTCTTCAATAAAGCTGCATCCCTGTGGCTCCTCTTCTCAGCTCAGCTGTTTATGGCACAAACAATCACAGAAAACCACAGCCAATGCTGTCTGGAGCATGCTACTAATTGCTGCAAATTAGCAAAAATGCACTTACAGGTATTCTTGACTGTGCTGAAGCAGCCAAACAGTCTGGGACTCTTAAATGAGTAGGGCTTCATGGAGGGCAGCACTCCAGAAGTAATGTCTCCTACATGGGGAGCCCTTACACTATCTGTGGGGATTTTTTAATGGAGAATGGAAACAAAATGTTTTAAATCCCCCATAAAGGAGTGGCCATCAGCTGCTCATCTGTACTGGAAGTTCTGCATCAATGGTAGTTTGGTTTAATGGCTGGGAAGTAGAGAAACCCTGAACCCCTGGCTGCTGAAGGAGTGAGAGCCAGGATTTGGGGCCTTCTATGGTCCTCTGTTCTCCTCTGCTGGGTGGATATTACTTAAACTTTTCTAGGCAGTTTTATGGGTGGGTAAAAACAAATGAGAAAATAGACAAGAAAAAAAAATCTAGTTATTTCTGTGGTTAGGCCATATGCTAGTCTCTTCTCGGGATAGTGGCCTCATTGTGTGTACTGCTGTTCTTTTCCTCTACAGCCAGCCAATGTTTCAAATGTCTGCAATTTTCCAACAAAGAGTTACATTAAATTCAGACACCAGTCTTAGTTTTCAAAAATTAATCTTTGCAAAGCATCTGTGTCAGGAAAACTGCTGTCCATTAGTAGGAAATTATTCAGAAAAAGGAAGACAATTCACCTATTTATGTAAGAAACTGCTGTACAATTAAATACACATATTGGTCAGTAGAATAAGTTCTTTGATCTGTTGCTACAAGGAATCAGTGTAAATACATTTCCTGATAAGAGTTGCTACTGCGTAATTGCATTTTACAAACTGCGTAGTGTGCTATTACTCAGGAAATGTGTTTACTGATATGCACGTCCCCACTCAGCCTCATGCCTGAAAGGTTAGCTTTTCCTGATATTTATAGTTCTTGCACATTTTTAAATAAGATGATTAAACTCATGAAAGGATGGAAGAGATCACAAATAGAGAAAATTGATTCTAGAGTGTACAAAACCACTATCAAAATAGAGACCAGTTGATTGTTTTTAAACACATGTTGGTTAGTGGCATTTGAGATTAAACTGCAAGAAAATATTAAAAGGGATTAATTTATACTGTCAACTCTGCCTTTCTGGGCTTCGTCCTTTTGTTAGAATAGATGGGAGTATGACTCCCTCACAGCTGTGAAAAGCCTTGCTTTTCATGGACTTTTGTCCTATTTTAGGGACAATAATACCGTAGAAATTGAGCCCCTCCAGAGCTTGCACAAGAGCTGCTAAGTGAATGCCAGTGATATTGAATGCTCAGTAGTTTTTTACCTAAGGATAGACTTGTCCTGGGTTTTGGTGGGATTAATATGGGAACACATACTGTTATAACTCCAGCCATGATTCCCTGTGTACTAGGGATGCAATCATAATAATGAAGGGTATACAGGTAATTCTTTTCAAGTTTGAGTTTTAATCACTGCAAATCTACCTAAGCAATGCCTGTTGGATAGAATTTTTCATTTAGGCAGGAGCTTATTAAACATTGTCTCAGCCTGAAAATATGTATATTGGTATACAGGTTTAAGCAAAACCATCTCATTTTAATCTGGGGGATGTGAAAAGACCATTGTCTAGTTAAAAACAAGAGGGGTGGAAAAGCGGTTGCATTTGTATTTCTTTGTTTTGAAGAGCATATTGTTGAACTATCAGAAGCAAAAAAATATTTCAGGATGGGAGGAGAGCCCTCACAAAGTATGACTGCATCTCTGCACTCCAGTTACAGAGGCTGTGATTTGACTAGTTGTGGGCTGCTAAA